CCTCGAGGCAGTTACACAGTGCTTACAACTGTCTCTGGAAGTGAAAGCACCAGAAAATAAATTAAGTCATACGCAGCTACCATCCGTGCGCAAGGAAGTAAGCACATGACGCCGAAAACCCTTGCAGGATGCAGCGCACCCTTCATGCGACTCGCCGAATATCTCACGGCGCTTCGCGCTTGGTGATGTGAGAGCCTGGTCCGGTGAGNGTTGTGCGGGGTCGAGAACCCTCACTCCGCGCAAAGGGGATGATCGCACCACGTTGTGTTAACATGGTCAAGCACCCTCGAGGCAGTTACACAGTGCTAACAACTGTCTCAGGAAGTGAAAGCACCAGAAAATAAATTAAGTCATACGCAGCTATCATCCGTGCGCAAGGAAGTAAGCACAACATGCCGAAAACCCTTAGCAGGATGCAGCGCACCCTTCATGCGACTCGCCGAATATCTCAAGGCGCTTCGCGCTTGGTAACGTGAGAGCCTGGTCCGGTGAGAACCCGGCCTGCTCCGTCCCGGCTTTGTAGGGATGCGAGGTCAATGGTCTAACGACTACGGCATGCACGACTATGAGTACACCGCCCCCCTTGCCAAAACAAGACGGAAGGAGGTACAGTATAACACCCAAGACAAAAAAAAAAAAGTAGCAGGCCGTTCGTTCACTTTCCCGTCCTCACCAGCAGACGGCGGGCGGGGGGATAGCGTCAAAGCAATAGAGAAAACACAAGCCTATTGTATGATAGAACGAATCAAGTCGTGAAACCGCGGCCTCGCACTCTCACGGCAAAGAACCGCACATACTCCTCAACATCACCATTGAGAGTGATATGCGATGGTTCATGTTTTCAACGTACAGCACCGCACACTCTCTCATACGCCATGGGTCGCGTGTTCCAAAGCCCTGCATGCTCTCTTAAGCACCGCACGTACCGCTCCAAACACTACGGTTTTCAGAGAGTGGGCGATGGGCCATGCACGCCTTCACAGAAAAGCACCGCGCGCCCTCCCGCGAACGCTCGCGCGGTACGACTTGCACGTCAACAGCAAAGCCCTGCACTCTTCTGCAACCACTCACATCGCATCTACAAACCGCATCCATGTCCGAGGAAGTAGCCTTTGCAGGGATATTATATTTAGTAAACACGTTGGATAAAGCATGCCATCGGGGAAGCAGTGTTAGGGATAGGGTCTGCGTACCCCCCCCTACCCATCCCTGTTATATTTCCTGACAGATTTAATTTCTCGCGAAGGCGGTCCAACCGAGGCTCTCACCGGGGTAGTGAAGTTGGCGTTTTCGATTGCCCTCTGCACGCTCATGACCCTCTGCAGGTAATGTTTCGCTATCATGTCCGGGCCTTCCCCCACGGTGTCAGCGGCAGACTCCGCTACGAAGAACACCTGCCACATGTATGGATCAAAGTCAAGTAATCGGTTCGACGATAATCGCCAAAGCTTGATTGGTGCTCTACTGTATTGTTCGTTGCTGAGCTTCGAAACTGATATTATTGTTGTTTGATGAGGGCACGGGCCGTTGCTCTGGTCAATACAAACACGCGCAAAACGGACTCGTGTACGCCCACGCCTGTTTCCACGCTCGTCAAGCTTGCCGCTGTCGGACCAACTCCTCACTCCGCGCGATAAAATATGAGAGTCAACAGCAATTGGTGCGATCGGCCTCTGTGTCGAAAATCAACGTGTGCTTATCCAGCCCGCCTTTACAGACACAGGAAGGAACGCCACACAGGAGTTTGCGGTTTGTGCTGCCATAAGGCTGCATACAGATAAATATTTAATTTTCTGCTTGGTTCGCTGGGCTATTTGAATGAAAAACATGGTCAGCTGTGTTAGTCTTCGGAAACGTCACACGACAGCTGGCAGCCAACTCTGTGGCGTGGTCCGGCTGCCTGCTGTTACTTTCGTCTTGAATCATCACCCCTAGAGATGACGCTACAGTGCTCTCATGAGCCCACTCCGGAGGGATGTGTCACTTGTATGCGCAAAAATCAAGCTGCCGAACGCTCGGTGTAAGTGCGGCTCGAATCAGAAGGGGAAAATTTCGAGGGATCTCGTCCGTGAATAGCTGTGACCGTTGAATGACCTCTCTGCCTTCTTAAAGATACAGCACGATGACCATGGAACGAACCAGGATATAACCATGTCCACACCCCGGCGGGACACACCTGGTTGATGCGGAAGAAGGGGTCGAAGGCGTCATCGAAGAACTCCTTCTGTCGGTTCGCGAGGCTGTTCGGCGGTACCTAGGGGGGACGGAGAGGCGAGTTTCCCGCAGTCGGGAAGTGGCGGGAAAGGGCAGCGAGGATCTGGTTGTTAGCCTGTGTCGATCCATTCGGCTTGGGCAGCCTGACACACTGCTGTTTCGCAACCACTACGTAGACGTGCAGCAGTCTCGCTATGTAGTCGGCGGAGATATGATACAGTATCATGGTGACCATGACTACGTATACGCATCGGTGTTCCATTGAGAGACCCTTTCGCTGGCGGTATATCAGCCTTCGTTGCTTCCCGACTGATCACTGCAGCTGCCCCTTCTGCAGGATGGTTATTTCGCTAGTGAAGCTTACGCTCGTGATCGACCTCCTCGCCTTCTCTTCTCCAGGGGGAAGTCAACTCAACAGACACCAATAATACCGCTGTACCTCATGCCGGCCCGTGTTTGCTGCTGTTGTACCTCATGTACCAACTGCCGGCCGTCGCTGTTTACGCCAATTAAGGAAATGACGCAAAACGCTGCCGTGTAGGGCGCTGTACTACCCAGCAGCAGACCCACACCACCAGCCAGTACAGGCCGCAGGCTGGCTTCCTTGTCTCGTGGTACTGCCGTAGAGAAGTTGGAATGCTGCTCCCCTTTGTGTGTTGTACAGCAGGCAGGCTCAGTACAATACGCGGACCAGCCGTGGTTGAACTTACCGACTCGTGAGCAAGCAGTGAGTTACTCACCCAGATGAGGTCTGGATTAGTGATTATCCGCACTCGGAACAGTCCAAGTGAGCAGGTCAGCGTCGCCACCACGCAAGCAGCAATCACCAGGCGAGGGCGGCGGCAAACACCAACGCTGTACCGCCTGGGGGTGCACCAGACAGACGTATGCACGCGGAAACATTCACAGCGGACAGCAGTTGGACGTTATGGCAGTCATGCTCAGCACTTGTGGCCCAAATATAGATCACTGCGTCACCTGGTTAGATGACCCAACAAAGACTGGATCCCTTGCTGCCGTGAATGATGCTACTCGTGCAACTGCTGTTGCTGCTGCTATGTATGCTGTCGGTGAAGAGTAAACAAGAGGGCGGAGTAATGCGAGCGACAGCGTGTGTTCTCTACCCTCCCCTCGCGCGAGGGGCAACAACAAAATCTTGTCCTGAAGGTTTTGTCACACCCCCTTTGCGCCTACGTGTACTTCACTCACCATAGCCAGCTTTGTTCAGCCATGCACTCTTCCCCCGCCTGGCGTGGTCATAAGTCAGTAGCCCGAAGCACCTCAAGCACAATTGTACCGTAGGCATGGGGGCACAGACACCTAGCCCCGATGGTCAGCTATGTACCCCGTGCACCATGATTCAATTTTTAGATACTCTCTGCGTACCCCCCGATTCTAATCTCAACGGAGATCTTCAAGAGGATCATCATCTTTGTTGTGCTGCCAGCTCTTTCAACTTGTTGTTACTTCCGCTTCGTTCTGTTTGTTGTTTGTACATGTGATTAGTGATAGGTTTGCCGTCTATGGTCCTGCTGGGCATACCAAGCGCCTGTCCTCTTATTCCTGCTCTACTTCTTCATCAACAACTCCGAACAACGGAAATTTTGTCCGTTCGATTTTGCACGGTGCCACCCGAGCATATGGTGGAGACCGGATCGATATGAGGATTTTCTCTTTACTCCTGTGTTGCCTAATGCTGCATAGCTTAACTGTTGTAGTAAATGCTGCGGAACTGTTTTTTGTTTGCCGGAACCTGCTTGTCGCCTATAGAAACCGTCATGTCAACCACATCAACATGAAGTGCTCAGGTGGTTTAGTTGGTTATAATGTCCGCCTCACACGCGGAAGGTCGCGGGTTCGAACCCCGCCCCGAGTACACTTTTGTGTTTTTTTTCTGGTCATGATATATTTCCCCCCCCATCCATGACACTCTATGACGCTCGTTGCATATCCATCACAGCAGTCAGCCAGCCATGTGTGTTCTGCCCCTCTTGCCGCCTTTAACTATGCTGTTCCTAGTTGATAACATCTACCATGACAACGGTAAAAGATCCCTGTCGTTGCGTTTTGGAGTTCCTTCCGTAGGCCACTTCACTTCCGCACACGTGTCCTGTAATGTCATCACTAAATAATAAACTCTGGACGATTGGGCGCGTAATGCATCACTAAAAAAAAAATAAACTCTGGACGATTGGGCGCGCTCCTTGATTGAGTTGCTTTGCCATTTGTTGTCGTGGTATCCGGATCGTCAGCATCCCTCCCGTGCGGGTCAAGTGCGACTGAGACCCCGCATATTCGGCGCACGCACGCGGAAAATACAGTCAAACATAAAAATGCATCCATGCAACAACAACAGAACAGCGTTGACGCGCAACTTGGGGTCGGGGCTCAATTTCTTATTTATTCGGTCACCACCAACACACCGTCGAGCATATAGGCTACTGCTGTAGATAGTCTATGTACATAGGTCATATATATGCTGTAGAGCTAACATGTAGGATCCACGGCTGGCTGGCTGAGGCGTGTTTCTTGTGTATGCCCTTGACGAGCCCATTGAATAGACTAGTCTAGACTCAAGAGTTACAGTAGATCGTCAACTTCTCGCGGCCACGGGGCACCCGTGGGTGATCTCATTGAGCTTCGGGTAAAATAACCAACCGTAACATGCAGACTATCTATGCCACGAACTAGATTTCTTGGAGATGATGGCGTGAAGCAGAGTGTTGTACTGCGGCGATTCGTTCATTCATCCAGGATCAAGTCGATCTTTCGACACGACGAGGGTTCATCCGGAAACGACGAGATGTCACGGGGGGGCTACCAAGAAGGGTCGTAATTTCGAGCAGCAGCAAAGAAAGAGTATCCATTCGCCAAGTCCCGTGAGGACGTTGAAAACACAGTGAATCTAAAGACTATCTACAGTTACTCATGAAGCGCTCACACCTCCGAGTTCAGAGATGGCGTCCGGTGTCCAGCCGGAACAAATAAATGTTTTTGTTGTTTTTCTTCACATTAAACCCGTGTCAGTTGCTTATCTCAAAATCTAGCAAAGAATCGAAACCGAATCTGGGTGCATCTGTTGTTGTGGGAGTCGGTCCAACAATAGTCTAGTCTACACTCGCGCCGGCGACCACCACGCAGGAAATGGCGAAGGAGTTCACGGAGGCCCTGCTCGGCGCGGCGGAGACGGAGCTGTCTGAGGAACCCCGGAGGCGGCGCACCACGGAATGGAACATGACCACCGCGGCACGGACAGCCCTGGCGACCGCCCTTGACAAGCGACGGGCTGCGCGACATTCCTTCAAGGCCGGACCGAACGCAGCAACGTGGAGGATCCTCAAAGCAACGTGCAAGGGGGTGAAGGCAACAATCGCAACGAGCATCTACGACCACCTGGAAAGATACGTGACGGAGCTCGAAGCGATCTACCAGGACCGCGACATGCGGGGGCTGTACCAACACCTCAAGCGGTCAACGGGCCTCAGCGGGAGACAAGCTGGGGGGCAGCAGTTCGTTACAGACGAGAACGGCGTGCTACTCCGGAACAAGGATGCCATCCTCAAGCGGTGGCGGAGATTCTTCAATACCCTCCTGAACTCCAAGTCCCCCACTCTGAACCCAGACGTTGTCGAACAGGTGATGCAGCGACCAGCGACGCGCGCCACCCGACACCTGGCGGCGGTACCAGACCTCGAGGAGGTTGAGGCGGCGACGAAAGGCCTGGGGAACTGGAAGGCGGTTGGTCCCGACCTCCTTGCCGCCGAACTGCTCAAGGTCGACGGCGACGACGAGCCAGTTGTACTGGAGCGCCTCCGTGCCATCTTCGTCGAAGTGTGGAATGGGGGAGAGATGCCGCAGGAGTGGAAGGATGCCATCATTAAGGTGCTGTACAAGAAGGGTGACCGTTCGAACTGCAACAACTACAGGGGCATCTCGCTGCTCTCGCATGTAGGCAAAGTACTCGCCAAGACCATCACCAACCGCCTGAGCGCATTCTGCGAAGCCAACGAAATCCTCCCGGAGGAACAGTGCGGGTTCCGGCCTGGCCGATCCACGGTATGCATGCTGTTCGTTGTGCGCCGACTCCAGGAGCTGGGGCGGAGGAGGAGAATCCCGCTCTACATGTGCTTCATCGATCTGCAGAAGGCATATGACTCGGTGGACCGGGAGCTACTGTGGAAGGTGCTGGCCCGGGCCGGGATCCCCGGGGAGATGATCGCCGTCATCCGCAAGTTCCACGTCGGAATGCGGGCCCGGGTCCGCACGGACGATGGGGAGCTATCGGACTGGTTCCCGGTCACGCAGGGATTACGACAAGGGTGCTCAATGTCCCCACTGCTGTTCAACGTCTTCTTCGCAGCGCCTCTCGAGATCATTGTCACACGGTTCAGCCAAGATGAGGTTATCGTGCGGGACCTAGTGTACTTGAAGGAGGAGGAACGGAGGGGGGGGGGATTGCTGGACCGAGTCCGGAGGGCGGTGTGGGGGATGCTATATGCCGACGATGCCGGCGTTGTGTCGAAGTCCGCCGACGGCCTGGCGAGGATGATGACCATTATCGTGGAGGTGTTCCGGGAGTTCGGGCTGACGGTGTCGGAGAGGAAGACGGAGACCCTGGTGATGCGGGTGAAGGAGAGACAGCGACCGCCGCCGCCGCCACCGCCGGTGCTGACCATCGAAGCAGCGGGGCAAAGGTACGCACAGACGACCGAGTTCCGATACCTGGGCGGCCTCGTCAACGAGCAGGGCGACCTTACCCGAGAGATCAACCACAGGAGCAAAGCAGCGTGGGCGTGCATTAAGCGATACGCCACGGAGCTCTTCGACCGACCGGGAGCACCGTTTCGCCTCAAAGCCCGCCTGCTCCAGGCGGAGGCAGTGGAGGCACTGCTATACGGCTGCATGACATGGTCCCCACGCCGCAACCACTACGGAATGCTGCAGACGACACACCACCGGCTACTCCTGCGAGTCATCGGCTACCGGCGCAAACGAGGCACCTACCGGCAGCTGTCATACGCCCAGGCGCTAAAGAGGGTCGGCTGCCAGAGCGTGGAGGCCACTGTCCGTCAACGGCGCCTGCTCTTTGCGGGGGCCGTGGCAAGACAGCCGGACGGGCGGCTTCCGAAACGGCTGATGTTCGGCGAGTTGGTGGGAGGGGAGGACCCGGGCCGGGGAAACCCGGAGCAGAACTGGCTGACATGCCTGAAGGACGACATGAAGATGTTCGAAGCCAGGTACGGCTCCACGACCGACAAGCCGAGCGTCTTCGGAGTCCCGAAGTTAGTCTGGAGTGAGGCGGCGAAGGTGGAGGGGGGGGTACCGTGGCACGCGGGGGTGCTACAGGGAGCTGAGAGGTTCATGGCCTCTTGGCACAAGGGCAAGGAGGAGGCCAGCCGACAACGAGCCATCAAACGAGGAGACAGCGGGCCCAAAAATAGTCTAGATACGGCACCAATCAACGGGGCGGTAGGGGGGCGGAAGGAAACGGCGCGGCGGGAAGAAAGCAAGCGAGAAGAGACCGACCGCGTGACGTGACATGTTGCGGTCGAATTTCAACGACTAATTTTTCTGTTGCCCTCTCCCCCGTTTGCTGTCGCGTTCAGACTGTCTCTAGGGATATCCCTGTCTCTGTGCGAGTTTGTTTGTGTCCTCGTCTTTGCTTTATTCTGTTTTATTTTGTCTTTTGTTTTGTTTTTTACTGGCACGTACCCCCGCCCCTTCCTTTGGCCGTCGACCTGCCTCCATGTAGTGGGAGGCTACCCCCCCAGGCTGGTGGTGCGGCCGTTCCACTAGTCTAATTATTTATTTTATTTTATTTTATTTGTTTCTGATTATATTTTGTTTTCTTGTATTTTATCGCTCTGCTGACCCTTGGGGTCCATTTTATTTTGGTATACCTTTTCTAGGTACGTTAGCCTGTGACCACGGAAATTGGCCGAGTCAAGTGATGGATTAGTACGGAGAGATTGAGACAGAAGGAGGTACTGGATAGAGAGACCGGGATGGTTTTTAATGTGAAGACAACAACAACAACAACAACAACAACAACACTTGAAAGCTCGTGTTGTGGAACCAGGATATAGCTAGGTATCCTCCCAGCAGTAGGGACGCAGATACAACCGTATGGATCCGACCCCAGGAACGACGTTCTCGAGGTCTGAAGGTGCTTGCAACAAAAAGACCCTCCGTCTGCTGTGACCAGCCGGAGGGTAGAAATGAGCCCCTGAAGCTCACTCTGACCTTTCAACCTAGCAAGGCCGACTAACGTCAGCCACGCTTGGCCATTCCTTGCCACATTGCAATAGTAGGGGCGAAACTACCTCCGTTGGTGAACGGTTATTCACTGCGTCAGGGACCTTTATTTATTTACTCATAACGGCGTAAGGGTGTTCCCATTGGCGTTAGACGAAAGTCTGTTCTCAGTGTTGTGCGCTTCTCCTGCTCTTCTACCCAACAGACGTTCAATGGCGGGCGGGAGCCCTGCTTGCATGTCAGCAGGGTCGCCTGCGGCTGACACTGGAACAAGCGTGAGCGGGCTCACGAACGGCATGCACGTTCACGAAAGGATCGGCACAACCAGGTGTCCTCTGAGATGGGGAGAGGTGTGGTGTGTGTGGTCTCCGCGTCCTCCAGGCGCGGGCATGGGGCGGAAGAAAGAAGAGCTCGGGGCGACGGGGTTACCAGCCAAGTGTGACGCCAAGTGTGACGCGTCCATGGGCACCCGCAAGAAAGGTGCAGATCATGTGGTGCCACGAACATCACCCATTTCCAGCTCGGCCGTGCCGGCGAGGGGTAGGACTTGTCGACCATGGGGAAACGAAGTGTTTCGCTGTCGGTGTGACTGACAACATGCGAACAAGGTGTAAGTAATTGACCTCCATGAGCTTGCTGTGTTCCGGTGAAAGGGAGACTCGTGCCGCGTCGCCGGCGTACCGGAGGGGGAAACCTTCGGATTCTACTGCGATATCATTTTTCACGTTTGCTATGGCACCACCCTCGTGATGACGTGAGACCGTGTGCAGTACTCCCCAAGCACCCCGAAGGACGCGGCGGCAAAGGGCACGCTGCATAGTAGCGTTAGAAGGCACAGCGGGGCTCCACATGGCCAGAGATAGATGCCGTGTTATCGTGAAAAAAAATCAACACCTAGAGGCGAACCACTTAAGACTTTCGACGTTTTTTTTGGGGGGGGGGGTTGCCGAAACCACCCCAGCTTCGAGGTGGTGGATCCGAAATGCAAACCTCAAAGCAGCACCCATTTCTTACATCGTGTCCAGCGAATTGCTGACAGTAAAGGTCGCGGGTCAACCCGAACCCATCAGGGCAACGCAAGCGTACTTCTTAATGGCCGGTCCCGGTCGTACGTTCACCTTCGCGGTAAAGATTGCTACGGTACTATTGTCGACGGTCACTACGCCGTCAAGCAGACAAGGAAGGGTCATAGTGCTCTGGCAGCAAGGGTCCTTGTGTGTCGACGTTATTGTGGGCGGCAGCAGTAACCGCGAGCGCCTCCTCACTCTGGTCTGGAGCGGTGTGTGCGGATATCATCAGATGCAGGGTCTTCATGTGCCGCCGCGTGGGTTGCTGCGTGGAGGGGCTAATCTCGAGAAAGTCGCTGCGGATAGCGGGCGTGGTGACACTGCCACTGCGTTGGTGCCTCTCTGGTCGGCGACTCACGAAGGGAGTGCCCAACGGTTTGGAGTGCTACCCCGAGAAGGTATTTTCCTCGCCATTCATTTTGACGGATTTACATACGGGAGCCATCGTCAGCTCGATGGTCAGTTCCCCGGACGGCGTCGTATATCCTCTGCAAGGATCACGTCCCGAGAGTCCAAGCGTTTTGCGTTTTCATGCCTCCATTCTTGGGGAAAAAATTCAAAGCAGCTTTCAGAGGAAAGCCGCTTGGTTGGGCGTCTGTTGTAACAATTGGCTGTCTTGTTCGCATGATGAAACCGTTCCGGTCTCTGCTCAATAACTCTACCCGTCCCTACCGGCCCCGCTGACGCGGGCGCACTCCGTGGTCTCAGTAGGCGATCTACCCAACGTGGTTTACACCACCACGCAACAAACATGAATAAATCGAAGCAAAAATGTGTACTTTCTGGGTCTGCGCAAGGGCCAAAAAAGCAAGCGAAATACCTTTTCGGGCTGGAGCCAACTAATACGTTGTGTGGTTCACTTCTTGTCAGACATCGAAAAATAGCACTTTCCGGCAAAGCAGCAATCCCGGCAGCAGCCCGGGATGCCAAGAGTCTCAGATTGATAGACTTAAAGCGACCTCTGTTACTCCCAGATCACCCCTGTACGCTGCAGACATGTACCGGGCATCTGGGGAAGCGAAATACTTCACTACATACAACAAGGCCAACATATTGTACACTACTGGCACCACGATCGATCATGGTACTGCTGTAGTAAAAATACTCAACAATTTTCTACATGTGCCTGCACGGCGACGACACGCCCTTTAGTGCAGACATCATGCGTGCACTCACCAGCAAAGTTTGACCTCCCACTCAAGCGTGCTTAAGGTAGCCATTACAGGTGCATAAGCAAAAACAAATCCACTCGAAAAAATCCAGCAACACACCAAGGGGCAGCCCTCCCCATCGGCAATAAAACCCATCATGCGTCACGGCGTGTCGTCTGTCCCCGATAACAGCCCCCTCATCTCCATCGACTCGGGCCGACTGAGTGTACCGCCACCCCCTACCCCCACGAAGTTTATGGTTGATGCTTCCCCACTCCGCCTTCGACTCACGCTGTCGTTCGATGGGTTGCTACTTGACTTTGAAAGAGGTTGTTCTCGCGCTTCCGGTCCCCCGCTCTCGATCGATTCCCCTGGACCTTGCGCCGAGCCCATCCCTCCTCTCCCTCGCAGTCTCCTCTGTCGCAGTTGAACATGTGTTCACACCCATTACAAGGGGATAAGGAGAAGTTCACTAATAGCATCCCTGCCAAGTTGTGGAAAGAACGACCGCTGTATTGTACGCAACGCAAACCAATTCACGGGGCACGGCCTCCCATGATCACGAGGCTACGGCGTTCAGCGAAAGCGGCCTGTTTTGTGTGTGCTTCCATGCTCTTGGGGAGGCCATTCGGTTCGTCGAAACCTACCTCAACCACTTCTTGCCATTCTCATCGGTACAAGCACAATGCGTGGCCCTCCCCAACATCTGTTGGGTACGAGGACGAGGACGAGGACGAGGACGAGGACGAGTACCAAATACAACACCCCTACAATATTTGTTCGAAAATATGAAGGGCATCGGATACAAGCTCAAACACCACAATTGTCCCTCAATTTCCAAACAAAGTGGTACTCGATTCCCATGCATTCGTTCTCTACTGCAGAGGGACCGAGGGCCTCACGAACAAGGAATCTTGAGCGCTTTCCAGGGACGGGACTGCGTTTGGGTCAGATTACAAGGCGAGTTCCCAACGATCCCTGCCCCCGTGTGTACCTCCTCCTCAACTTCTTTGTGCCGAAGATAGGTTTGTTTTGCTGATGCTGGTGCTGGTGCTGGTGCTTTTCCAGATGCTACTTAATTATCGTGCGGCACGCTCACTAGCAAGAGGCGGCCTGAACAATGGCTGCGAGTGGTGATAAAAAAAAAAAGGAAACCAGCAAGCACCAACAGCAACACCTGAACAACTTGTGCGAATAGTGAAAAAAACAAACTGAAACCAGCACGCACAAACAACAACAGCAAAACACGCATCCACCCAAGGGGCAACGGTGACACTCGCCACTCACCGTCGACCCAGCGCCCTTGCCTTCGCACCGGCAGAACCCCCCCTCTCGCGTCGCCCTTCGCATCGCCAGACCGCCGACCAACAGCACGACCAGAGCAAGACCCCCCAGCAACACCGGCGCTGCGGTCGACGTCACCACGGGGCCCCTCCGCTTCGCCCTATGGCTACCACTGCCACCCCAAGGCATGGCCCGCTCGGTCGGGGGAATCGTCCCCTCCCGGTAGCCCTCTCCCCCTTGCTCCGCCGCATCTCCTCCACCACTGGTTTTGTTGACGGCGGGGGCGGTAGTGTTGGGCGGCGCCACTGGTGCCTCGGAGTGCGGTGGCAATGACGCGGCTACTTTTAGCGGGGTCGAGAGCCATCGTAGCCTTCCCCGGACGATGTGCCCATTGTTCTCTTCGAGCCAGTCCTCCGATGTGCGGGCGTTGACGTAGTGACTCTATTTTCGGTTCGGGCGCAGCAGGCATCGTGCAAGTGCGTGTTTCACGAGTTCTTCGATATACCATGATACATGTATGCAAAAGCTAACACCATCCGTGCGAGGAAGTATTCCAATGACGCAGGACGCGGGGTTAGGCAGTCGGAATCGTTGTCTCAAGTAGCAAGTGCGGGTTCAGGACAGTGTTGTAATCCGGCATACGGGTGTGCTGGCGGACGAGTGGTCCCGGCTCCTACATGGCACCCCAGATAATCACACTGTAATAATAAAAATCAAGCACGATGGCGATCAACGAAATGGCATGCAACACCAGCAACATTGTTCACAGTAGGTAATGTCA